GACTGGACTCATAAGGCCCAACCTGGGACCATTGGTCCGATCCTTGCCCACCTCTAATATATATGTATTTCACAAGCCCAGTAGTACAAAATAATTTACATGGGCCTTCTGAAATATTTTTCTTGGTGACTTGTACTAGAGATCAATATTTGGGCCGTATGCCTATGGGTGATAACTCCATCTTCCTTGCATCAATTTTCAGTTAATGTAATATTCTTCTATTTATAGCTTCAAATTTCAGCAAAGTCTTGTTTCATAACTAATTATACATCATTTTAGATATTAAACATCTATTTTCTGCATTCTAAGCATGCAATTTTCTATTTTTAGTTTCCAATTTCATCAATTTTCCGGTTATGGGAAAGAAGAATGCTGTGGGAGGGTATGTGTATCATGCTGAAAAACATGTGACAGGCCAGTAATATCTGATGTATCCATGCTTTTTGGAGGTCATAATCCCACTTTTCATGCATCATTTTTCTGGTATTGTTTAAGCTCTTTTTAAATTTTACTATTTTTCAAAATAAACCTTTAAGAAATTGATATGCATCATATTCAAAGAATGATGTCAAACTGCCTCGTTAAATAACTGTCAATGCCTTTCTTTTTTGCCAGGAAGGTTCCCCACTTGCTCTGGATTCCCTCCGTGAAACACTTGGATGAGTCACTGAGGTTGGTTTCTCAAATTTAAAATGCCATTTACTTGTTAAAAACCTTACCTTTTTATTTAGTTTTGATGCATTGAATGGGTTAAAATTCCATAAATTCATGAAGAATCAATGTTGAAATATTCAATATATATGTAAGAAGTTGGCAAATGAAGTTTGTTACCTGAAAATTAAGTTGACATAACTGATGTCAACGAGCACCAATTAGAGTTTAGAAGGCTTTGTCATCCAGAATCTTCCATGTCACCTAAGACAAAAAGAATATACTGTCATCAACCTAACCGACTCAAGTTTTGTTTGTGATGAATTTGGTTCGCACACCTGTCTAAGCCCTATTTAATTTAACGATATTTCTTGTTCTTGACCAATGGGAAGACAAAGAGATTTACACGGCACCAACCCACTTGCAAAATGTAATCATTACCTTGAGCACAACGGGTATAAATAAGCACTCCCTTTCCACAATCGGATCAAACACTTTGTATTCAACAAAGAAATAACAAAGATACACTATTAGAAAGAGGCTGACTTGACATTCTCTAAAAACACTTTGAATACCAAGAACCTATAACCCAGACCTCAGTTCGCAACCTATTTTAATTTTGGTTAACGATCAGGAACACCCCATATAAAAAAACAATGATTGTAGGATTCGCTTTAGCATCTGAACTGCTATAAAAACCTATTATCTCCTTTATTGTTTTAACGTCTTTGCATACTACAATGAAACAGTACCCTAATCAGCTCTCACAATCAATTAACGGTAATTTCAAATCTTTTTAACATTTTACACTTGCGAAATCGTTGGTGTCAAAATTACCATCACCAAAGTTGGTAATATCCAAAATAAAAAGAAAATACTAAGGTAAAATTATCATGAAGCTGTCGACCAAAAGCGAACATTAAATAGGCAAAAATCTATGCAGATATTAATGTCCAAAAGGGCCTTTACAAATTCCAGTTGTTGCCATCATTTTGGCTTTGGCTTGGCTCCACTTATAAATACACACACACACTCAATTTAATTGTATCCTAGAAGTTGAGTCAGTGGGCATCAGAAATTGCAAAATCAAGTGGGTCCAACCAACCCAATTTGATGATCATTTAATCAAATCTAATCAATTCATCTGATTCCCTTCCTTTTGCTGACTTTTTTTTTTTTTTTTTTATCTTTGACTGTAACTACTCCTTTCTTATTACCATTTTTCATGTTTTGGTGAAAGTTCTTGTCCATTTTCAATGCAAGTTTTGGGATGTGTCTATGTTGTTTTTGTTATTAATTATAGCTTTTGTTCATTTATATATAAGGGCAATAATGTCATAATATTAGTCCTGATTAATTTCACCGACTTCTTAGAGATTATTAAGTTACGAGAGTTTTGAATAATTTGAGTCCCAAAAAAACAATTTAAATAGATTTTTAATTGAACTGGTTGCAATCTTTTTGTCGATGAGAGTCTCATTAGAGTGTTTTTTACATCTGGTCAGTCATACACAGATTAAAATCATTCTCAATGAACCTAAAAGAAATGATTTCGATTTTTTGTTTTTTCGTTTAGTTTAGGTAGAAAATCAAATGCCTTGAGTGAGTGATTCGACATAATAACACAAAAGATAAAGAAATATTATAAATTTCTTCGTGATCATTCCGAGTTTGAAGTATTATTAATGTTAAATACTTATGTGAAATTATTAAAATATCTTGAAAATATATATAAAAAAAGCAGCATACATATATAAACATATTATTTTAATTTAAATAAATAGAAAACATTTTTTTTCTTAAAATATTAACGACACCAAATTCAAAATCCAGCCTGTGACTACCAAATACATGCAAAGAAAATATCGCGACAAGATACCAAATTCTCATATTTTTTAAGCGGATACGAACCGAGACGTTAACTGTGTTATCGTACGCACCCGTGCGTACGGTCTCTTAAACACACAGGTCGCTTTCAAACAACATTGACGCACGTTGCCAAATTCAAACGCTCCCGTGTCGGTAAACTAATAAGGCCTCCAGCTGGAAGGGGACCATTTGATGACACGTGTCAGCATATTCGCATCGACAGCTCATAAAAATTTGATTGAGGGACCACACTGCACCCCCATCTTTTTCCCGGTTTCCGATTTTACCCTTATGGCGCCTCGGAATCGCTGCAGCCAAAACTCACACGTTTTTCCGCGTGCCACGTCGGATTAGTGCGTGATGCCGTCACGTGATAGCCATGTCAGATACAAGTCAAGGTCATGGGCGAACTTGTTTCTTTATGAATCGCTCAAAAACTTTTATAGAGTGAATTTAATATTAATTACATTTCCACTTTTTTCCTTATCTTATTTTAAAATAAAATAAAATTTACGTTTAATAAATATACAGTATAACGTTATTTATATGTTTTAATTATAATAATTTAAAGACTAATTATATATATATCTTCAATTATTTTTCTTTAAATAATGATCCCACTATGATAGTAATAAAAAAATATTTTTTAAATACATGAAATTTAATATAATATTAAATTTTTTTACAATATTAATATATTTAAAATCTAGTTTATGGATATAAATTTTTGTTATTGGTTATCTAAAAATATAGAATACATAAATAATTTTGTGTAAAATTGACCTTTTAATGTTTAATGGATTGGGCCTGTCCAGTTTGTGTGGCCCATTAATACAAAATAAACTACATGGGCCTTGTGAAATAGTTTCAAGGTGACTTTATTTTAGATATCAATTTTTTGGGAGTTAAAAAATAAATATATTATATGTTTTTATTAAAAAAAAAAAAATGTAAAAAGGACAAAACAAGTTAATAAGTAAACTATCTCTTGGTGGTCGCATGGTTTAATAGGGCTTGGGTGTATTACTTAAGAGGTCTTGAGTTTGAGTCACTTCTCGGTTGCTAATAAGAGTAGCCACTGAAGCTCTTATTCGGCCGGTAGTTCCAAGATCCTGAAGATTAGTTGAGGTTTATGTAAGTTGACCTGGACACCCTCGGTCATAAAAAGAAAAAAAGGGTAATAAGTTGATATATAATGTAAATACAACAAAATACTAGTAAAGTTAGACTTGAACATATGGTTTTCGGTGATATGAGTGATTATTTGTTTGACATTATGAACTAAAATTATAAATATAAGAAAATAAACTATTAAATAGTTATTGTCTCAGTGTATCATTTTACATTATGGGATAGAAGAAGAATGGCATTCGAAGAGTAGTCAAAATAAGTCGATTAATATGAAGTTAATGGTTCGTTATGCATTCTCACTAATAATTTTTATTCTTTCTTCATTTCTTGGTAATTTCTTTCGTGTTCAGTAATTTCTTATATTGTAATTTCTTTCTTCTATGCTGAGAGTTAATAATTTCTGTCATTGTTCAACTGAGGAAATACTCAAGGGTAAAGCAATGGCAGAAACTTGTTATTATGTAGTTGCTTTCTGCATAAGCATGTAAATATGTTGTTTCTTTGAATGATAGAAGCATTTTTATACAAGTAAATGTACTTGAGGATTTCTTACAATATCTGATTGCAATAATATTCACTTTGTTTATATACATAAGCTTAATCTCCAGTAAATCCTCATAGTATAAATGTTAAAAGAAATTAAAAAAAAAAAAAAAAAGATTTTACACTCTTGGACACTAGAGAATTTCGCCGAATTTCAGCTATGCTTGGTAAATTGATATAGATTGGCAATTAATGAGCGTGCACAAAATAGGATATCACTAGTGTAATAGAATTAAAAAGTGAAATCAATGTTTAATTATTTGAGAGAATGTATAGATCCTTAAGTCCAAACTCTTCTTAATCAGATCATTGGCTTCATTTGTCCAATCAAAGTATAATTTGGTACAAGTGAAATATAAGTTTAATTCTTTTCTTTTGATCTCCATTTACTTGATCTCCACTCTTGCATCAGATTCTTAATTTGAGAAATGGGACTTAAACAAAGTCAATGAAAATGAATTACCAAAAGGAAATAAAGCAATATTCCATGCCTTAACCACCTTTGAAGCATCCTAATCACTGCTAATACATCATTTTGCGATTGCTTGGTGACTGAGAAAATCAAGTGCTGGGCCAAGCATATTCGGTTCATATCATCTTTGCGTTCCTTCTTTAAATTACAACTATTTATAAAGAATTGAAAGCATATCAGCAATTTCACACTTACAAGCAAAATCTTATATCTCACAATTCTCTCTAGCTCTTTTATCATTCAAACACTTACCATCTCTGATATCATGGTTGAAGCAATTGTTTCTGGTGTCTTGGAGCAGCTAATTTCAATCATTGGTCAAGAAATACAATAGGAGGTAAAGCTAGTTGTTGGCGTCGACAATGAAGTCAAATCTCTTAGGAGCAATCTTGAAGCTATTGAAGCTGTGCTTGTTGATGCGGAGGAAAGACAAGTGAAGGAGAAAACTGTAAGACTTTGGTTAGATCGGCTCAAACACGCATCTTACGACATTGAAGATGTGTTGGATGAGTGGAACTATGCCACTTTGAAACAGCAAATTGAGGGACCTAAACATGCTGCTGTTCTTAAGAAGGAGGTTTGTTTCTTCTTTCCCTCTTGCTTTTCATTCAAACGAATGAGTTTACGTCATGACATTGCTATAAAAATAAAGTAAGTCAATGAGAATTTAGATGTCATTGTGAAGCAAAAAGATATGTATAATTTTAATGCAATTATAAGTGTTAGAAAGTCTGGACGAGTAGAAAGTACCTCATTTGTTGATGTGTCTGATATTTATGGTCGAGTTGAGGATAAGAATAATTTAGTATGCATGTTGTGCGAGAGTAGTGAACAACACCCCCATATCATCTCTATTATAGGGATGAGGGGAATTGGTAAGACTACTCTTGCTCAATTTGCTTCTAAAGACAATGAGGTGATAAACAACTTTGATAAAGTAATTTGGGTGTGTGTGTCAGAACCTTTTGATGAATAAAAGATAGCCAAAGCAATCATTGAGGCTTTAGGAGGTTGTACTTCGAAGTTAGGTACATTGGAATCGCTTTTTCAGTGTATTAGTATATCTATTGCTGAAAAGGAATTTTTGCTTATCTTGGATGATGTGTGGTCAGATGACTACAAAACATGGGCACCATTCTATCAGAATGGTCTCCATGGAAGTAAAATTTTGATTACTACATGAAAGGAATCAGTGGCATGTGTGATGGAATCAATGGACATTATTGCTGTCGAAGTATTGTTGGATGAAGAATGTTGGTTGTTGTTTAGGCGATTTGCATTTTTTGGTAGGTCTTAAGAGGAGTGTGAAAATCTAGAAGAGATCAGCAGGAAAATTTTAAACAAGTGCAAAGGTTTGCCTCTTGCTGCAAAGGCTATTGGTAGTCTTTTGCGCTTTAAAAAAACTAGAGAAGAGTGGTTAAAAATCTTAGATAGTGATCTGTGGAAACTTGAGGAGTGTGAAAAAATATTTTCAGTCCTTTACTATTGAGTTATAATGATTTACCTTTCTCGATAAAACGATGTTTCACATATTGTGCCATTTTTCCAAAGGACCATATATAGAAACTGATTATTTGGTTAAATTGTGGATGGCTAATGGTTATCTCAACCAAGAAGGAAATAATGTTATGGAGATAGTTGGTAAAGAGTACTTTGACTACTTAGCATCACGCTCATTCTTCCAAGAGTTTAAAAAAGACGATCACAATAATATCGTTAGATGTAAGATGCATGATTTAGTACATGAATTTGCTCAATTCTTGACTAAGAATGAATGTCTCCACATAGAAATCAATGGTCTTAAAGAGCCAATCATAAACCCTTCTTATCATGAGCAAGTTTGTCATTTGATGATAACACTTGATGAAGGGACTTCATTTCCTGATTTTATTTGTAGTCTAAAAAAGATGCGTAGTTTCATACATAATTATCAAGATTCCAAGACTTCAATGCCTAGTAATATCTTACCAAAATTATTTGGTGATTTAACATCTTTAAAGACATTAAGTATTGGTAGAAATGATATTGACAACATTCCGAAGGAGATAGGAAAATTGATACATTTGAGATATCTTGATTTGAAATATCTGAGAATGAGAGAACTTCCTGAAGAATTATGTGAATTATATAATTTGCAAACTTTAAACGTTAGTCAATGTGGAGAACTGGAAGAATTACCTCAAGGGATTGGAAAATTAATAAATCTAAGGCATCTAGAAAATTATGAGACTAGGTTATTAAGATACATGCCAATAGGAATTCAAAGATTGACTAATCTCCGAACCTTAAGGATTTTCATTGTTGGTAATGATAATAAAGCATGCAGCCTTGAAGGTTTGAATTACCTTAACCTATATGGAAATTTGCGCATAGAGAAGTTGGGAAATGTATCAAATGTGGATAAGGCTAGAAGATTAGAGCTCAAGAATCAGAAAAATCTCCTTCATTTGTTTTTGGATTTCACAAAAGATGAAGGAGAGAGGACGAATGAGGATGATGAAGCACTTCTTGAAATCTTACAACCACCTTTAAATTTGGAGAAGTTAGTGCTAGAAAATTACAGAGGCAATGCTATTTTGTCTAACTGGATGATGTCCTTAACCAACCTCAGGGACTTACAACTCGATGAATGCAGCAACTGCAAGAATTTGCCTCCCTTGGGAAAATTGTCATCCCTTGAATCTTTAGAGATAAATTGGATGGAGAGTCTGAAGACAATGAGTAATGAATTTTTGGGAATAGAAAGTGATGACACATCTTCATCATTTATCTTTTTTCCCAAATTGAAAATGCTTGAGTTTTTTGATATGAAGGAATGGGAAGAGTGGGATTATGAGATTACAAGAAAGGGAGAAGAAGAAGAAGAAGATAATATTACAATCATGCCGTCTCTGGTTTCCTTGGAAATTAGTTATTGCCCCAAGTTGAAGGCATTGCCAAACTACCTTGTTAAGAACCTTAGGGACTTAACACTTCCTGAATGCATAAACTGGAAGCATTTGCCTCCCTTGGGAAAATTGTCATCCCTTGAATCTTTGAATATAAGGTTTATGAGCAGTTTGAAAAAAATGAGTAATGAATTTTTGGGAATAGAAAGTGATGGCACATCTTCATTATTTATTTTCTTCCCCAAATTGAAAATGCTTGAGTTTCATTTTATGGAGGAATGGGAAGAGTGGGATTATGAGATTACAAAAACGGGAGCAGAAGAAGATGATATTACAATCATGCCATCTTTGGTTTCCTTGGAAATTCATAGCTGCCTCAAATTGAAGGCACTACCAAACCACCTTGTTTAGAATACAACATTAAAAAAAGAAATTTACCGTTGTCCTCTACTAGGCTACGATACTTGGTGAAGGGGAAAAAGAGAGGCAATATTTTATTTTTGTTTATATAAATGTACTTGTGATTGAATATTTAATCAATTTGAAGATATTGAAATTTCATATGTTTAAGATTAGAGGTAATTTAATTGACTGATTATATTCATTTTTCATTTGATTAAGTTTACATAGAAAGAGATTGGTCTCCTCTCCTGAGGTGAAGTAACTCCACTTGTTTTAAGCAAAATAGAAATTATTAAATGAATGATTGAGAGAGTAGTAGCAGAAATAGCATTAGATTTGTTGAATGATTATTTTATACTCCATTTGTTTTAACCAAAATAGATATCAAAATCTGATTGTTGTAGTTTTAGTTTTATACAAATGCAATAATTTCTTGAATGTTTACATTGAAAGAGAAATACAATTTCTTGAATGTATTATTAGTTTAATAAAATTAATTTTATTTAATCAAAATTTTCTTATGAGTTTTTTATAAATAAATTATATTCAATGTTTAATTAAAATTATTATGTTCAAATAATGAAAGCATGAATGAATGTTGTATGATATCTCAACGAATATTGTGCTAAAGTAATTGATAATTAATATGTAATTATTATTGTTTCTTGAAAATAGAGCTGGGCATTTGGGACCGGCCCAAAAGCCCAGCTCGAAAACCCGGTCCTAGGACCGGTCCTCGAGAGGACCGGACCTAGGAGGCCTGGTCCCGTAGAGGGCCCGGGCCCTCCACTGGGCCCTCCTCCAAGGCCTGGACCCAAAAAAATTTATATTTTTTCAATATAGTCCCCTGCTAAATTACATAAAACCCTCTGTTAATTTGAAAATAAATATAAATTAAGAGGGCTAAAATGAAATTTTACAAAATTTATAAAAAAAAAAAATCTTCCAAGTCTAAAAAATTTATAAATTTGACCCCTAAAAAATATAAAAACCCCCATAAAATTTCATTTTGCCCTCAAAATATAAAAAACAATTGAGGGGGGAAAAATAATTATCCAAGCCCCATGGGACTGGTCCTAGGACCGGTCCTGGGCCTATAGGATAAGTCCTTACTAGGCCTAAGGCCTGGTCCAGGTCCTAATTTTTCTCATGGGTCTGGGACCGGTCCCAGGCCCATGAGTGACTGGTCCCAGGCCTGGGCCTGCTTGGGACCGGTCCCTGCCCAACTCTACTTGAAAATTCTTAGCTACAATAAAGGTGTCATTATCTGTCCTATAATCCACTCACCCCTTTGCTATATTCTAATAACTCATTATATTATAAACATTCATTAACAAAATATAAATATAGACACCTTCACCCTCATCCTAATCATATTCCTTCTTGCCTGTTTTCCAACTATAATTAATTACCACATTAAATTATCATTTTCATGAAAACCTTTTACTTAACTTTGTTCTCTTGTTCACCCATACCATAATTTTTTTTTTTTGATCACCGGGGGTGTCGAATCAATTAATCTTTCGGGGTCTTGGTATTATCGTTCAAATAAGAACTCTAGTGGCCACCCCTATTAGTGTCTAAGGACTTGATTTAGGAGTTTATAGAACCTCCTTGTGCTCTTTTACCATCAGGTCACTTAGTAGTGATTACTCACACCATATATTGGCATAACCGTTTTCTAGATTTTTGTAATGTTTGAGAAAAGCCGAAACCCTTTATAATAAATTAGCGCTAGGTAGAGGGGTGTGGGTATGAATTGTAGAGAGAAATCTATGGTGGTAGTCTCATGTTTCGAAGGATACTAACAATGCTCATTAATACAAAATAAGTTAAAAAATAAGGATACTAACAATGCTCATTAATACAAAATAAATTTATATCCAATGTTTAATTAAAATTATAAGAAAATTTTCTATATTATATATATTATTAGCATTGATATTATTATAAAATATAGAAAAATTTCTTATTTGTATGTATTTATGTTTCTGTAAAATATAAATATATATTAGAGGTGAGAATTTGGGACCGAACCCAAAAAACTGGGCCTAAGACCGGTCCTCGCAAGGACCATTCCTCACAAGGACCGGTCCTATAACCAGGCCCATGGAGGAGGGCTTAGGCCTAGGTTCGATCCCTCCTCTAGGCCCGGTACCAAACCCCCACCCAATTTTGTTTAAGGCCTTGGTAAATATCCCAAACCCTTATTTTATTCGAATAGATAATAAATATAAAGGTTAAAATGAAATTTTACAGCCCATAGGACTAGTGCTATGGACCCATGAACAGTCTTAGGGACCGATCCGGGCCCTTAAAAATTTCATGGGCCCAGGATTGATCCCAACCAAAATGGGCCTGGTCTTAATGGGACCAGTCCCAATTTTGACTGGACTCATAAGGCCCAGACCTGGGACCAATTGGGTCCGATCCTTGCCCACCTCTAATATATATGTATTTCACAAGGCCCAGTAGTACAAAATAAGTTACATGGGCCTTCTGAAATATTTTTCTTGGTGACTTGTACTAGAGATCAATATTTGGGCCGTATGCCTTATGGGTGATAACTCCATCTTCCTTGCATCAATTTTCAGTTAATGTAATATTCTTCTATTTATAGCTTCAAATTTCAGCAAATAGTCATTGTTTCATAACTAAATTATACATCATTTTAGATATTAAACATCTATTTTCTGCATTCTAAGGCATGCAATTTTCTATTTTTAGTTTCCAATTTCATCAATTTTCCGGTTATGGAAGAGAAGAAGAATGGCTGTGGGAGGGTATGTGTATCATGCTGGAAAACAGTGACAGGCCAGTAAATATCTGATGTATCCATGCTTTTTGGAGGTCATAATCCCACTTTTCATGCATCATTTTTCTGGTATTGTTTAAGCTCTTTTTAAATTTTAACTATTTTTCAAAATAAACCTTTAAGAAATTGATATCAGCATATTTCAAAGAATGATGTCAAACTGCCTCGTTAAATAACTGTCAATGCCTTTCTTTTTTGCCAGGAAGGTTCCCCACTTGCTCTGGATTCCCTCCGTGAAACACTTGGATGAGTCACTGAGGTTGGTTTTCTCAAATTTAAAATGCCATTTACTTGTTAAGAAAACCTTACCTGTTTATGTTAGTTTTGATGCATTGAATTGAGGTTAAAATTCCATGAAATTCATGAAGAATCAATGTTGAAATATGATCAATATATATGATAGAAGTTGGCAGAATGAAGTTTGTTATGCCTGAAAATTAGAGTTGACATAAGCTGATGTCAACGAGCACCAATTAGAGTTTAAGAAGGCTTTGTATCATCCAGAATCTTCCATGTCACCTAAGACAAAAAGAATATAGCTGTCATCAACCTAACCGACTCAAGTTTTGTTTGTGAATGAATTTGGTTCGCACACCTGTCTAAGCCCTATTTAATTTAACGATATTTCTTAAGTTCTTGACCAATGGGAAGACAAGAGAGATTTACACGGCACCAACCCACTTGCAAAAATGTAATCATTACCTTGAGCACAACGGGTATAAATAAGCAGCTCCCTTTCACAAAATCGGGATCAAACACTTTGTATTCAACAAAGAAATAACAAAGATACACTATTAGAAAGAGGCTGACTTGACATTCTCTAAAAACACTTTGAATACCAAGAACCTATAACCCAGACCTCAGTTCGCAACCTATTGTAATTTTGGTTAACGATCAGGAACACACTCATATAAAAGAAAACAATGATTGTAGGATTCGCTTTAAGCATCTGAACTGCTATAAAAACCTTATTATCTCCTTTATTGTTTTACGTCTTTGCATACTACAATGAAAACAGTACCCTAATCAGCTCTCACAATCAATTAACGTGTAATTTCTAAGATCTTTTTAACATTTTACACTTGCGAAATCGTTGGTGTCAAAATTACGCATCAACAAAGTTGGTAATATCAGTTAAACAGATAAGTGATAGAACAGAGTCCATCCCCATGCATGATACTCAACAGTCAGATATTGAAGGAGATATTGAAGGACAAGTCTGCTGTAACAATAATAGTTTGAAATGCTTATCTGATAAGTCTGTTACGTAGATCTCTATGTAATCTTTCTGTTTGTTATTTTGAACTTCTCTCTATCATGTAACTACTATAAATATTAATGACATTCTTATATCTGGTGTACTGTTGAAACCAGATCAATTCATCTATTTAACTTGGTATCAGAGCCTTTACTTGGCTAACCCCCCCTTTATTTTGATCTTATGGCTTCCAAAGACTCCGCTGCAACATTCTCTTTACCCAACATCACTCCCTTGGTATCTGTCAAATTGGATGGCACCAATTACCTCAATTGGACCACTCAATTCATCCCTCTCCTTCGAAGTCATGATCTCTTAGGAATTGTGGATGGCTCTCAGTCCTGCCCAATTCAGTTTGTCGCTGATGATGAGGGCAAACCCACTTCTGTCATTACTTCTGATTATTTGGTATGGCAGAAAAAAGACCAGTTCATATTGGCATGGATCAATGCCACTCTCACAGAGAAAATTTTGTCCACTGTTTATGGACTCACCACTTCTCAACAGGTTTGGAATACCTTGGCAAAACGATTTGCACCTAATTCACGTTCCAGAATTTCTCACCTCAAGAGGCAGCTCCAAACGTTGAATCAGTCCAACAAGTCCTGCACAGATTATCTCCTCACTGCCAAAAGTTGGTCTGACCAACTTGCAGCAGTGGGAAAACCCGTTGATGAAGAAGATTTGATCTCCTATGTTGTGGGAGGACTGAATCCAGCATATCACCCCTTTATCACATCTCTGAATTTTGCAACCAGAAATTCCTCAATCACTTTTGATGATTTCCAAACAGAACTACTCAATTATGAGCAACTCCTTGAGATCCAACACCAATCTGTCTCACCCGACACCAATAACATTGCCTTTTTCACCCAAAAATCCAAACAACACTACAACAACAGAAAGCCTAAGCCATATCCTTCCAATAAATTCCCT